GTGCTTGGTGCTCTCGTGGATGCTATTTGTTTATCGTATTGTTCGCTGTCGCTTTCGGCACTGTACGGTAATTTTACTATCATGGTAGCGCTATGTTCTGGTCATTAGTGCTTTCCTAGTAACGTACTTTTGGATATGCTTGTATGTATGGTTGATGTAGAACAGATTAGTCAGAATGGTCTGATTGATAACTTACTTGATGGGAATCAAGTACTCACCCAGGAGAGGCACATAGTGTGCTTTTGAAAGCTGGGAATGTGTCAACGATTGAGCGTATCAGCCAGTTCGATCGGACTTGTTGTTCCAAGTCGAATACTACCAGTCGTTCGGGCAATCCGTCAACAAAGTGGTTTGGATATCAACAGTCACATGAAAACCTCGGCGTTGAACTTCTCGACAAGCTTCTCATATGTGCCGTCCGTCGGATCACATCAACAATGTGAAACAGCAGTGGGCCAGCTAGAATCTGGTAAATACGGCGTAGGCCCCTCAGGGCACTCCCAGAATTGGCGTGGGGCCCTCAGGGGTACTCCCCTCCACCTCAAACGAATCACTTCATCCCTACGACCCGACCGCCCACACAGCTGAACAGAACGAACTGGATATGCTCGAAGCGCAGGACTCGGGAGCTTCTGAACCGCACTCGGATAATGCGGAATCAACCGTGAACAACCGTGCCATAGTAAGCATCACCTAGTGGTGAAAGACGTCCGGTTTTGGTGAGGAGACGATATACTGGAATTTCGCCATTGTAAGTCGTTCTCTACGACTACATCAGTTGAGCTCTCACAGCATGAAGAGCATTGCTCATATATCTCGCGAAAAATATAATTTGATTTTTGAAGGACGAATCTTAGACGCCCAGTATTGATCGCTTTAGAGCGTTGAGGCTACAACAACCCTTTTGACCGTCCGCGCAGCTCGGGGGCCTGACTATGGCGGCGGTGGCATTGGCCCATTGAATGACGATACACAAGTCTTTATGGATGGTACCAGCGAGAGATCTACAGGTGACCGATAGTACGCTCTTCTCGAACGATTATACATGGGCACCCTAGTCCACTATCTGTGTTGATTGCACGACAAGTGAATATCTTCTGACTCGATTCAATAATCCAATATATTGGAAGTGAATTGCAATGAGCAGGTGAATCTGCATCGACATCCCCCTCGAAGGCTACAGGGCCACTACGCCCAGGTGGACTAAAGACTACTATAACATACCCAGAAGCCCTGGTTAACGAACAGAGCTATCCAGCAATGGGTGTAGCCACAGTTAGTGTTTCGCGTCCGCACTACTCGACCTTAGCTTGGGTGCTCTTGTCCTTCTTGCCAAGCTAAGAAGCAAGAGCTAGAGGAGCAGTTGCGGCAGGGCTCTGATGAAACATCCATTCATCCCGATCTAGTGAGTAAACAATGACCGAGTCCCTTCGAGTGAAGATCGCACTGATGTGAAATACCAAAGTTTAGTGCCTCAAGCCACCTCACTTGCTGAGGGTGATTGCTGATGTTATTTTTCGAGTGATCTGACGAACTCTGTACAACACTGCGTTCTCGCAGAACTTGAAACCAAGGTTTCATCTGTCAACTGTCGAATGGGGAATGAGAAAGACATCGCATACATTTCCAAGTCTACCACTTTGCTGGCGTGTGTGTCTACCACTAATGTGTTTTAGCGATCTTCTCAGGAGCTGGAGATGTATCGTCAGAATCAGCAGATGATGTACGTGACGCAGTTGACCAACATACTGGCTCAACGTGTGCTCGATTTCAAACGGGAACGTCGGGCGGCCCGACGAGCAGCTAAGAAAAGAGCGGAAACTCAATCCCTTCCACCAGAAGAATCTCTCAACGTTGGATTACATGAGTAGGCAGTACACAGTGACAATTACTGTTATCCGTCAGTCCAGAATCGGCGGAGGTTCGAATCATGGTTGGAACACTTTTATGACGTGTGCTCCTGGTCGTCGGGATAAAGATGGCGGTACATTTGCTGTGTGTTCACTCATGTGATTATTACTGCAAGTCGTACATTTGGTTGTCTTGTGTTTCTACTTGTTGATTCTGACAAGCACTACATATTCCTGATGGTCAGTATAGGGGCGCAAGTGGATTCCGAAACTCAACAGCATAAAAATGGAGACGACCAGACAGAAGTGGGGTTGTCGCAGTGAACACCTTTGAACACAGAGTGCTGCTGTGTTAGGGTATGTGCACCTGTGGAAGGTGTATAGCGCTAGCGTTACAGCACACTAACGCTCGAGTAATGCTAGCGCAGCAGAACCTAGAAATCGCCCTTAGAGCTGGACCACGGCAGCAGGGTGATGATGGTGCTGGTCGCAGTCAAGTGGGCGCGGGTTATTGTACTGATGAAATTACTGATGTGAGATGTTTCACGGCGCTAAGAGAAAAGGAAACTGTCAGGAATTGGAGCTAAGGCGAAGAGAGTTGCAATTGGAACGCGCCAGAGAACTTCAGCAACATATCTACGCCCAAATGGAACTTTTCCAGTTTTGGGTACAGCAGTTGTACAGAAGTCAACGACAAGAAGATGAGGATGGAAGTGAAGATAAGAGCCAGCCTAAGAATGCTCCTTTTATGATAACACCATATACGTAGGAATTTGGTAGTTTCTGGTGCAGTTCTATAGCCCTACTTAGACACCAGTGGTTGATCAGTGGTGTTCACAAAGGTGAGGTACAGGCTTCTGCTGATGCTGATGACGATGATGAGGAAGAGGATAATTCAGAGCTACTCGCCAAGTAGGATATTCCTTCTCTTTGATAAAGAATTCTGTGGCCGAATCTGCTATAAGTTGTATGTAGGTACTTCACGCCGCTCCGCGATCTTCTGGGTAGCTGGAGAGGAAGTTTTGGCTGTTGGGACGGTGGCAGAGCCAAAGCATGACATCTCTATTATCATCATACTGATACTGAACATGTCCCAACATTTTGTGTCATTTTCGACTGACTCGAAGCCTTGCGTGTGTCTTCTCTTGCTGATCGATTCGCATTCGCGAATTTAAGCCAGGGATTTTGGTGATACATCTCGTGTGTTGAGAGAAAATCTAAGAGGGTTCGCTACGGGAGACAGCTGTGTATGTGCGTACAGCGCAGTACGTGTCACCCTGATCGTGCTCACCGCAACCGCTACAAGAAGCACTGGGTGGCATCCCTTATGGACCCACTACGACCAACAGGCCGACTTGTAGGAGAACAGGCTAGATATTTGATAGCATCCCATTGTGAGATTCCCAGCAGCACATACACGGTTTTAGCTGGGTCAACTAGAAGCGTGTGTTTTCTGGTGGGAACCTGGCAGTTCTGATGGGGGACGGCTTTGGGTCTCCTGGGTGAGTGTTTCGGAGCCTGTCACACCTCGGCAGAAGTCGTGCACTATTCTGGCGAGACTCACACGTCACTTCCTATGGATTTGTTCATGCGTGCAAAAGTCTGAATATGAGACACCCCGTGTATCGACACGTCAAAACCGCTAGAAACATTGAGACGCATTGGAGATCACACGGTGGCCTGGAACCATGAGGTCTCAGGACAGCTGTAGAAGTGAACAATGGGCCGTGGTGTTATTCTACCATTGGAGTAGAAGAGATCCCGAGTTCTATCCCCGCTGGTGGAGCTTTTCACGTAATTTGCACGCAGACGAGAATGAACGAAACTGAGTCGGTTTGGTGGATTTGAAATTCTGTTCGCGACTTCATATATCTGGTTCACGAATTTGACCTCTCATATTCGGCAGTTGATCAAAATCGAACTTTCATTTCGAATTTGACATTTGATTTCGTGAAAAAAACCCTTCGCAGTCTACGGAATTTATTCTATGTTGAATTTTAGATTGGAAAGCTATAGAGCCCCGTATTCACCTCGAGTATTATTTAGTCTATCTCTGATTATGTTGTGGTTGATAGTAGCAGCTGAATATGAAGTTGAAATCGGTCGACTCTCGTTTCCTTGATCGTCGTCGCCAGTTGTGCGGGCCCGTAGAACGAGAGCATTTCAAATTGTAGGCTTTTGAAAATGGCATTCAAGATTCTTTCCCGTAGTAGAGAAGCGGGAAAGCTCGGTCCTAAAACCCATCTATGTTATCTAACTCTGGCCTATGCTCTAGTGTACTGCGATCAAGGGTTATTTGCTGGCTTCAATGTGTACCTAGGAAAAGAAGGTCTCCAATTTAGCGATCTCCAAGTGGGCATCCTAGGTGGTCTCTTTATCCTTGGCTTCGTAGTTATGTCACCCTTGTTTGCCAGAATAGGTCAGATCTCGGGCGTCTGGACAATACGCTCGATATACATTGGCATGGTTCTCTGGATAATCACTAACGCCATTATGGCCTTGACCCCTAGTCCTTTCTGGCTACTCTTGGTGTGTCGAACGATTAACGGTGGTGCCGGCTCGGCTTTGGTGTCACTGGCACCTCCTATACTGGATGATGCAGCCCCGTCTGGAAAGAGCTCACTTTATCTTGGTATTTTCTTCGTGGCGTTATATGTTGGTCAAGCGTTGGGCTACCTTATTGCAGGATTCTTCTCTTCTTGGGAATCGGGTAAATATGCATTCGGTGTCGAGGCGTTGGTAATGGTAGTATTCGCGTTCCTAGCGTACTGGTGGGAACGACGTTTCGAAGTCCCCGACGAATCTCAACGGGAGGAATCTCGAGAATCTCTTATTAGACAGCTTATTCATCTTGGAAAGAATCCGATATTTATGTGTCTATCATTCGGATTCTCGGCGTTCATGTTTACAGTTGGTGGCTTCGGGTTCTGGGGACCAGCTCTTATTCAGTATATATACGATGCTACTCAAACAGTGTCCACAATAGCCTTCGGAGCAGTAACAGTTGTATGTGGTATTGTTGGCACACTTATAGGTGGCCTTGCTCTGGATTATCTGGCGGTTAAATGGGCGAAGAAATGCTCACGTCTTTTCGTGGCTTCTTTGCTTTCAGCAGTGTCTCTATGCATATCGTGGATGGTAGGAGTAGGTGCTCCCTGGGTGAATAATTTGGCGGGATTTTTGGCAATGTTAACGATTATTGAATTGTTCTTACTTATGTCTACAGCACCATGCAACGTCGCTGTCATGGATGCCGTTCCGGCGAGCTTGAGAGGACAGGCGGTAGCGGTTCTTTGGGCTATTACACATGCTTTCGGAGATTTCCCCAGTCCATTGTTGATGGGTTGGTGGAATGATAGTATCGGTCGTCGATGGTCTCTTGAAATATGTGTTGCTTGGCTCATCTTTGGCGTTGTTCTGTGGTTTATTGCAACATTCTTGAGCTGGAATGCTGCTAGCAGTGACGAGGAGGAGCAGGGAGAAGAGGGTGAACCACGTGATGAACCTAAGAAGACTAAGGTTTGATCGAAGTGGTCACTGTCATCGGCGAAGTACCAAGTGAGCTGTGTCACTGTCGCAGCAATCGGCAGAGTTGAATCGACGAGGTTCTTGGAAGGTAATTGATTAATACCATTATAGAATTACTAGTTTATAACCGCTCAAGTCTCGGGCCTGTGGTGAAAGTCGTCATTGTCGTCTTTTTGGTCATTAACGGTCTTGCCCTGTTTCTTATACCCTCGTCCTACACTCGAAACACTCGGTTTCACCGTCATCGTATTGCGTCAAGTTCAAGCTGTCACTGCGCACAGTTTTCCCCTCGTCAATGCTAGCCAGCATGAGTGGTGGAGGGTCGAAGGTATCGAGCGTTTTGGCTACAGTAGAGTCGTTACTAAAAGCAGGGAGTTACCTAATGCCGGTAGCCCCTGAAGGAGCATCAGAAGAGGAGACACTTATATTCGAATCGAGGATTCAGCTGATGTAATTATGGGAGGACTCATTTATAATGTGTACAGAATCGACACATTGGGGACTGTCCCATTCTATTGTGATGGGATATGTTCTTCTCTCTGGGGCCGCTATGCCACTCCAAGATATGTATTTGTAGAATCGACTTTCCCGGTTGGGGTGGCGATGCCACTCCAAGATGTGCCTCAATAGTCTGGGGCGGCTATGCCACTCCAAGATATGTATTTGTAGAATCGACTTTCCTGGTTGGGGCGGGGATGCCACTCCAAGATGTGCCTTGATAGTCTGGGGCGGCTATGCCATCTGAAGATAGGCCTAAATAGGACAAATCTTCCCCCCTGGGTTGGCGATAGCACTCTAAGGTACGCCGTAGTGGAATCGATTTCACTGCCTGGGGCGGATATGCCATCCGGAGATACGTCTCAGTGGATTCAATCTTATCATCTGGGGTCACTATGCCACTTCCATCTACTGGGGGGCTACGCCATCCCAAGGTATGCCTCAGTAGAGTCATCTGCTCCATTCGGGGCGGCTATGCCACTTCATGATACGCCTTGATATATCATATTGCAGACGTAAGAGGTAGTTCATTGACCCACTTGACGCATACCTAGTCGATCTCTGATAGTGAGATCAGCTCGTTTAGGGCGGCTATGCATTCGGATCCGCCGTGAAGGCGTTAATCATAAATCGTAACAGCTGCCGCTGTGAATAGACACCAGCACCAGAATGCATATCTGCCCCATATGCAGTCCTGTCAAAAGCGGAATTGACTCCTACTTTCCAGAAATTTCGTCCGGACTGATCCTGTTACTGTAAGCGCCCGCGACATTGATAATACTGGGATATACAGGGTGAGTCATCGAAACCCAGTGAATTCATAACTGTTCAGCCATCGAGCTCGCAGCAGTTACTGTTAGGTTGCAAAAGCTATCCAGCAAAGCTCGATTTCATTTCCGTTAATTTTCCTGCCCAGCTGTCGTCAAATCAGCGTTGCCGAAAACTCCTTAGCTCAGCTAGATAGACTCTGAAACCTAACAGTTACGAATTTACTAGTCCTTGATGACTCTCCCTGTATCTTTGGGTGCCATACGGTATGGTCCACTCATCCCTCAATCGGAGAAATAATCCCTGCAGCTTCCGAAGGCATTTGTGCTAGGCGATGCTAGACACCTACTTATAGTGAAATTCGTATCGTCCAAATATGAGGATGTACACAATTTACGGCTGATGCCGCCTGAAGCTGTATAGACCGTCACTGGTATCCATGCTTTGTTGAAGGCATCTTGTGAATTATACGAAAGTGCAGGCGGCATTACATTTAGGATATTGCATCCCATACTCTTCCCGAGTAGGTACACTCTGGCCGACGTCGCAGGTCTGATGCGATCACATTTGGAGAACCCTACGGCTCCCAGTTTGCAGCGTCGTTTGCAAACGCTTTTTCGGCTGCTCAAGGCGAGTCAGCTCTCCCTCGAAATGGATTGCGGTGGATTGAGAGCGGCAGTAGTTGTCGAAACGCTCAAGCTGGCTATTCGCCTGTTGCTACTGGTCCTACAACAAAATCGAACTCTGCTCGTTGAGGTGATGGAAGGAACTGAATGTGCACTAAATGATGGTGCTTTTATCGGCGAACGAACAGGTCTCAGGCTACCGCCTATGAGGACTATGCCGACTGCTTCGGTAGCGGTACATAAAAGCATTGGTTTGAATTTTGCATTGCCCTATCCAGAGGATTGTCTGATGATTTTGAGGCCCCTGGTGTACTTGGCAGCATGCGCTTGGCTGGACAAACGTAGGGGAGGACGAAGGAATAGGGCGTTGCAGCAGTGGGAGCCATGGGCAATTGCCAGTGGTATGGATATCATAGGCGTGCTCATACTGAGGGACAGGCTAAGGAAGGACATGGTGGAACCAGGTGATCCACGGGCAATTGAATACCGGCGAAGAACTCGAGCGATGGTCATGGGGATGGTAAGGGAAAGGAATCTTGCTCCGCTCTATTCTCTCGATATTGCTCTTTGGATTCAGTTACTTCGATCGCCTATGTTTGACTTGTTGCTTCGACGCCCATTGGAAGGGCTGAGCAGGGCCTGGGAGAAGGTACCTGTGTTTAACCGTTTGAATTACGTGGGCTACTATTTGTTCCTCCAACGCTTCTATTACGGTCTCGGCGCTGGCGACAGCTGATTCAGTGAGAGTATCTGCATTTTTCATATATATTGTACGGAATGTTTCGAGTGTATTAAATCGTTGGGCGTGCAGTGGGATCCAGCGAGGATGTATAATACATCATGTGCTCCACCATGGTCTTCTCCCCTTTCGTACAATCATCCGCAGTCTGCGTCGTGGTCATGTTGGACGGTAATACGCTACATCGGCATACTCCACTGACATAAGGTGATACATCGTCGGAAGCACATCTTCATTACTCCTGAAACTGTTTGGATTGTATAATATTCGTAACGGAGTCCATATTTCTACGGTTGAATTGACTGATTCAATTCAACCTTAGAAATTATTCAATTTGAATCTCCCATTGCAGTTCTCGTCCGAGCCAGATGGCTCGCGAAAACCGCCTCCATTCCCCCTCACGAAAATTTCCTTCGGAAGATAGACCCGCGGCTCGCGGACGGCTAATATTCGTCATTAGAAGCCTTTCGGTCACGTTGTCATTCTGTGAGTCTCGTTAGAGAGGTTCGAAAGAGTGTATCTGATGGGACATGCCGTATGTGGATTGATCACTGATGAGCGAATCATGAGAGAATAGTCCTCAGTCCGGAAACTTCATTCGCTGCGAATGAAGCTTCCGGACTGAGGACGATTCTCTTTCTTTCCTAACAGCAGGCCTACCTGGACCCACAGCACGTGACACTGACACGTGCTGGATGAGACGTGCGCGATCGATTCCGTTCATTGCACTCGTTTTCATGAGACAGTGTTTGCTGGATCTTGTCGGCAACGTTGCGGGTCATGACCCTTCATTTTTCAGTGTAGTCTCTCTCCCCCCATGTTTTGAACCCAACTGACGCATTCTTTTCGAGACGCCATCTCCAAGGGGCGGAGGGGTTTAGTTGCCACCAGTTATTCCCGGGTTTGAGCCTGCCGACGCTACAGCGTTAGTCCGCAGCTCAGCCTGAGGGCACGTGTACTTCCCATCATGCACAGCTTGGTGTCCACTCAACAACATAGAGGAACAACTACGTTTTGTCGTAGTTCATCGCCCCGCATGTCGCTCTTTTTCTTCGCTACAGTCGTTGCTACGGTAGCGAGTACTGCTCCCCAAAGTGTTGGCCACGAAGGTATAGTGCTCAGCCCCCCGCCTTGGCCGATCTCCTATTATTCTCAGATAATTCCTCCGCAGTCGGGCAACCTCTCCCTCAATGGTCGTGGTATACTTCGTCCTGGCAGTGGTGGTAAACAGCAGTTTGTTTTACATCCCAGTTGGCTTTCTGAACAAGTAATTCCCCTCAAGTTTACCAGTATTTGCCCACAGATATTTCTGTGCTGATATAGAAGCCGATGATGTTGACCCAGCGACGACACCAACCTTCCTGTACCTGAATGGTGGCCCAGGGACTAGCTTCATGTATCCATTGGTGCCTCTTATCGGGTTGTGCAGAATGACTCCAGATGGGAAGGAACCCAAGCCCAACCCGTAATGACAAGGCTCCATTATCCACTTCCTCAGTATATACTCTTGGATACTAAGAATGCTAACAGCATCTGGGTGGACGCACCAGAAAGTACTGGCTTCAGTACTGGGCCGTTGGATGCCAGCTTAGACAAGTTCATCGACAAAATGTGGGTATTCTCTGCATTTCAAATGCAGTTTGCATTGAACATTCTACATTATCCTTTCACAGGGTCACCTTGGTCCATCAGTTCTTCCAGAAATTCCCAAACTCGAACAGGAGCATCCACTTTGTCGGATGCTCGGCATCGGGTACGATTACCGAGATATTCGTGTGGACAGTAAGGTGTCGCCAATAGGTCTCGTAACCGCCGTGTTGGGAGAGAAGATTCTGAGAAATCCTCAACTCAACTTATCTTGCCATCAAGTTGAGGCACGCTGAGATATCCTCCTGATAATAATTGTCAGGAGCGTATCTGCGAGAAGATTTCACCTCTTATACTTTTTTGCTCTAATATTTGATACTCCCGATTTCTCGTGTGGAGCAATCGCCCCCAAACAATAATTCCTGTCGAGATGCATACTGCGTTAATTCACTCCTCCAGTACTCCGTGTACTTGGCGTGCGACGATGGCAATAGCTTGAAGATAAGCCTCCAACGAGTCGGCCATGGCATGCGCTAGCCTAGGCTCCAGGTTGGGTGATTTAACTTTTGCAATATACGTTCATGCAACAGTTGCATCATTACTTGGGTTATTGCAAATGCTGAATCTCCCCGTCCGTGATATCGGAAAGGTTTGAGGAAAAAGCAGTGTGAGTACAGGGGGCAGACTACGGGTACGTGCGAGAAGCTCGAGACAAGTAGGCATAGAAGTGAATGAAAGTCGCACTGATACTCGTGATATAATGTTACACCACATCAAGCGAGATCGAAATTACTAATACCAAAAATGCCGACAACTGTGTACGCTCCAACTTGATCGATTCTATCATAACGGCTGGAAATGCGCACAAACAGAGTATGCATAGATATAGATTTCCATGTACCATCAGGAGAAGCACCGAGAACGAAATTACGAAATAAGGAAACACAGAGTAGACTGTTTATCGCCCAAGTAAAGGCCAAGTTCGGATGGAAATGGATTAGCTTGGCGCGCGCTAATCTCATTGAGTGATTCTGCTCGAATGGTATCGTGTACGTGAACCAAATCGGATTAGGTATTTTTCAACATCCTCTTAACAATGTCTTCGTACTTTGACATCAACAAAAACTATCCCTTCTATGCAGCTTATCACACCAATAAGTGGAATAAAGCCATCCACATGGTAATCGTCTGAACACCCTGCTGCGTCGTCGAATGACAACTCCCCGTCTCGTTCAGGTGTGCGTCCCTCTTATCTATTCTACATCGTTGTTCTTACTAAGAAGATACACTCCAGCTCTCTATGGGAACATTACTTTGGCCACCCTCGTCCACGCCTTCTACGTACTTAGCTTCTTGTACATGGATTTACCAGCAGCCTTCTTGTACACTCCCATCATGATGGTCATGTGAGTACCCAACCCTGTTATACAACCCATTGAATGTATAGGTACATATGCTCTGCATTTGTACCGTTAAGATTCACGCCAGTTATGTGGGCTATATTCGCAATTTCCTGGATACTGCAGTTCGTCGGTCATGGCTTCTTCGAGCGTCGTAGGCCGGCTCTAGTTGACAACTTCTTCCAGTCTATTCATGCTGCTGTTTTCTTCGTATGGCTGCAAGTAGGTGTCGATAGGCCTTTGTAGTAGGATTGCTATTGGTGGTGTAGGTTATGTTTCGTGCTGGCTACAAACCCGACTTGGACGATGAGCTTGTGATGTTGACTAAAAAGGAGCTAGAGAGGGCTGGTGTGCAGGAGAAGAGGACCAGAAAAGGGGATAAGAAGGAATAAAGGCATTTATCAATAGTTGCATAATCATCTGAACTATTGCCTCTCATATGATACTTCAGTTTGACGCTACACATCTGTGAATTGCGTCGTCAATTACATGCTACTTAGAATCGGCAAGAACAACCGGAAACTAAAGACAGATTTGTCTGGTACTCTGATTCAGCACACTACAGTGAGCGGCAATAGAGGAGATAAGGAGGAGGCGGAGCGATGCTGGTCAACCTTTCCTCGACGTCGTTTGGGATCGATCGGTGTGGCTGTGTTCATTGGAGCAGTCGTGGCTTGGTTGTTGCGAGAAGAAGTTGAGATTTTCGGAGGTGTTACGGTAGGCTGAGAAAAGCTCGAAAATCACCATCATAGGTTCGCTGTGGTCTAGTCTATTATCGTACAACAGTGATAAGCAGCTTGTAGTGCTGCATGCCTCGCTGGGTCAACCTGATTCGGAAAGGCGGCCACCGAAAATATCTTCACAAGTGGTAGCTGAAAGCGTCTTTGGTGTGACAGTGTGGGAAAATATGAACATGATAAACCACTTTCATTGGAAATTTTCAGGAAATTTTTGTTGATTTTTGTGCATTTCCGCCCGAACTAACGTGTATACCTGTATAAGGAAACCGCTGAGCTTAGCTGAGGAAAGCGAACATATATTCCTACTCCAACACTGGCCTGTGTGATGACAGGTGCGTGGCTCAGGAGGAGAGTTCAAGCTGAGTGTCGCTTGGAACGGATTCGATCGGTCTCCGATTTCGATGGATAGGAAGAATTTTCTCGACCCACGAGCGGTGACGTACGTCACTGCATGCTTTATGGAGGACCTCTATAGAGAGGGAACTGTGGATCAAGACGGGACCAATGAAAACAACGCTGATCGCGCGGCTGTGATCAAGAATAGAAAGGAGAGAACTAGCCGCTTTAAAGTGAGTTATACAGTGTGGGAATATATGCACATGACCAACTACACGTGTTGGTAAAAATATGGAAATTCTGAAAAAATTTTGGGAAATTATCGTTGGTTTTTCAATGCCTCTATCCCGAATCCTGTGTGGATTTTGATAATATAGTGAGTTCAGTTGAGGAAGCCTGACACACATTCCCATACTGGAGTTACATACCGCCGCGTGCTTGGAAATTCCGGAGAGTGGCTGCTCAGGCTCAGCTGTCTATGGCGTTGTGTTCGCTGCTGGCTACTACGAACCCTTCAAGGGTACTCGTTGTTGCTAATAAACTCTGTACAGATGATAGAGATTTGATGCAGAACTTGAAGGTTAACGGAGTGGCTGTTGTTGATGTGGGAGTAGGGTATCGCGAGTGGCCGACGCTATTGAAGAGCGCTTACCCCCGTCTCAAGTGTTGCCTGTTTACGTTCAATAAGCTACTGATTTGGCGGCTCGGGGAGGTGCTTCCGGAAGGGGAGAACACTCCTATGGTATGGTACGATAGTGACATTCTGTGGCGTAAAAATGCCACGGTGGAGCTGATAGAAAAATATGAGAAAATGTACGATGGGAAAGGAGTTGTGGCGGCCCAGTGGCCGGCTGAGTTCATGAAGGGCGACGTAGTTCTCAACAGTGGGGTGATGCTTCTGCGACCAAGTTGGGAGGTATTCCATAGACTTGAGACAGCATGGTTTAATGGGGAGTACAAGCTAGTGAACGAGGAGAAGACTGCTACTGGAGATCAGGAAGTGACGGAGGAGTGGTATGTCGTACAATAATGATAAATTCAGGTTGTCAGTAGTATCTGCGGCGCTGATGAGGGCGAGGGCTGCGGAGGTCCTTGGCTGAGATTAGACGTGTGTGACAACTACCGAAGGTGAGCAGTAGTGTTGTGGTGATGGGAGTGTGCTCTGGGAAAGGTATGAATTCCAGAAACACTGCAATGAAAGTGAAGTCCCGTTGTGGCATCCTAATCCAAGATGGCGAAGAAAAGTGGTTGATTTCAAGAGCGCGAAACATGTCGATAAGATGCAGCGTGGCCAGTGTCGGCCGAAAGGGAAAAAGTGAAAAAATTGGTGATTTTCTGATGCTTGACGCCGTTGAGTTTTCACATGAAAGTGATTACCCTTTCTGGGAGAAACTTTTCCTCTATGAAAACCGCGATCGTTGGTTTCTTCGTCTTGCAGTCTACTTCAGTTCACGGAGCCTTTGAGGAGGCTGAGGGCGTCGAGGGCTGGGTGAAGGATCATAACTACTTTCGCTGTCTGCATGGTGCCGGACCAGTTGAGTGGAGTACCGAACTGGAGGCCGAATCTCAGCAATGGGCTGATCATTTGGCTACTGAAGGCGGCTCTTTGGTGCACTCAGGTGAATTCTCGGTGGAAGTGACGTGTGTAGTTCCTGGCTTCAGGCTCGTACTCGTCGGCTCCTTATGCTGGGGAAAATCTGGCTATGGGATATGGCGCAGCTCCTAGTGTTTGCAATGGCACTAACAGTGAATATAATCAGCATTGTGCTGTGTGGAATTGGTATAATGAATATAATGACTTTATGAAGGGCCGCTGTGATTCGTGGAAGGACATTTCTGGGATCGGCCATTTTACTGCTATGATTTGGAAGGGCATTGATAAGATCGGATGTGCGAAATCTGGTAACTACTACGTTTGTCAATATGGACATACTAACTGCATGGCTGAGGACCCTACAGGAGGCAGCTATGGTGGTATACAGTGCTTCGATGGTGTCCCCTCTAGAATTGCCAACTTCAATATTGGTCTATGTCCAGAAGACGGCACATGTGTGGGATGCCGAGATGATGAATTGGAGAGTGACGCTGAAGCCAGAGTAGAGCAATGTGGGGCGGGTCCTGTTGAGGACACCCTATGGGAAAGACCACAGGAGGTGCCATCGACTGCTGCTGCTGCTGCAAACACTCTCAATGTCCTATTAGCCACTTATGTTCTTCTATTCATCCAAATACTCCCCGACCATCCATTTGCTGTATAACTCATTTTATGTGTGTTCAACTGTGACCAAGAATTTATCAAGTTTTTTAATCATGTCTTGGAGTGTCTACTGAGAAATGTCAGAGTTGTGCATTAGTGAACTGTTACTGTTATTATCAACGCGTGTGACAGTAGTAGTGCTGTCACCCTTGAAGCATTCTATCTACACTAACAACGAGTATACAGTATTTGAGTGGAGTTTCACCCTAGTGATATGAAAAAGACTAATGAAAAACATATTTCACGACTACTGCATATCACCGCGAATATCGCGTTTTTCACCGAGTATTACGCCACTTCACGTAAAACGGGTTGTGAAACTCCAATGTACTATAGCATGAAGGTGAGAAGGAGATGCATGGTTGTACAGCGTCCAGTAGTAGCTATTGAAGTGTTGCTATCGGCTGACAACGGGGTACTTGTTTTTGCTGAGAACAGCGTTAGGGTTGATAGAAAGGGAGCACTCTCGTTGCTAGCGTTATCACGAAAGACCAATACTGCTCACACAAGTTGTCACTCAAGTGATATTGAACGGTGATCACTCCTGGGAAGTCTCAGGACATCCGCGATAGCAATAGTGACCACATCTCTCTTCTTAATTACGAATTTGTGACATCATGGGACTTACGCTCGACCTACTTCGCCAAAGCTGCATGGTGCGAAATACTGTGCGTGCGTTTTCCTTATGCAAATGCATGAAAATTTGATTTCTCGGGTAATACGGCGAATATTCATATAATCTCTTGGCATGATGAATGCATCCATATAACAAGTATACATTAGCTAAATCAAACTCCCGATCGACTTATTGAGGCGCGTGCTAAAATGACCGTGCGCTGGCGTGCTAATTAGTTAGCACGTCTCTTTTCTCAATGAGCATTTCCATGTCCCGAAAGTAAGTGTCCGATCTCGCTCGCCAGTAGTGTACACAGCAGTCTCGTGTCCTTGGCAAGAGACTGGTACGGTGGTTGACTTAGGTGAAGTTATTGTCTTTGAAATATACATGCTAAATTTAATAGCCTTTCTCGTCGTCATCACAGCGGCCTTTGGGGTTTCCCTACTTGGAAGAAGGGGAATCAAAGTGAGTCTACCGCACAGAGTAAAAGTTGTTGATGAGAAAACCGTTTCTATTCAGGTAATCACAGATAACATTCCCACGTCTCTGAACTCATGCTATGCGTACAGTAGAGCAGCTCAGACCTGGGCCTGGTTCAAGGCCTCCGATGACGACAGTGGTCAAGAACTGCGCGGAGTGCATGTGACTGCTCTCACATGTCTAGGAAATGACAAGATGGTATACGAAGTTCCGGCCGACTCTCTAGGGTAGCCTTTGTCGTTGTGATGATTTATATTATACGACAATCTCAGGGACTTGGGCAAGAGATCAACATTCGCCCCCGCTTTCAAGAGCTATAAGACTAAGGCTGGGAAGAAGGTCAACGGCATGCCTTATCCTTCAGCTAGCAACAAGAATTGTGCGCAATGGGTGAATCGTCTTAATAAGTTCTATCGCGAGACAGGAGTTATTGCTGAAGTCACTGAGGAGATGAAGAGAAGCCGCGTCAATAGAAAAATCGCTAGAGACAACACTGGGAAGTTCATCGAGGCGCTCTGTAGAGTTCAAAGAAATGGTGTGGTAAAGAACGAGGGCAATCTACCCAAAGCTGATACTCCGACTATGCCCCAAGGGGCGCCTTCACAGCTGAACGACGCGTTGATGAGAAAAATCATGGCTCAGCAGCAACAGGAACGCGCCCATGAGGAGGAAGGGCCAGTGACCTATACTCAAGTGCCGGAGCCTGCCGAAGAAGAGCCATCAACTGAGACTTATGTGGCTGGGCAGGAGACATCGACTGATACCTATGCCCCTGAGGGCTCACAAGAGGAGCAGGAGGAGGAGAGGAGGAGAAATGAACTGTTACACGTTAGAAATATCAATTATAAACTCCATACGGAAGTGTGCATGAAATTTGCGTGAGGAATGGTAGTGTGCATGACCAACATGTTGATGTACTCGTCTAGCCACCGACTTGATCTGGGCTGATAGTCGTTCAATGGGGTAACAGTGAACGCTTCTATACGTTCCAGCCATATTAGCACCGAAATTAGGAACAATCGGCAATCGTGAGATCTCCTTCCTTGAGAGATTATATCATAGAGCTCTCGATTGAGAACAGTGACGCGGATGAAACCGAGAGCCTATAGGCTCTTGGTGATAGGCTCTTACACAGAGTTGGTCGTGGCGTCCTTAGGAGAGTCTCGATGCATCACCATCATCGCACTCACCTCGTGCCCAAGTCGCCCTCACTCTACTGTTAGCCCGAGGAAGGCACTAACATGACTTATCGTGGATGCCTCCACCAACGACAGCAGAAGACGAATGTCAATGGAAGGGAGCAACAATATTATTATTTGGATGAACGCTTGACCGTGTGAGCTAGGAGTGTCAGACTTTGATATTGCCAATCGTGAGTCACGATTCGTGACTCTTCACACTACGGTCTACATAATACAAATTCTCCATCTTTATTGGATTTCGTCACATTTGATGTAACATCGTAGATTCCTTTTCCCCCTATAACCTCTTGTGCTTCTCTTATCCCATCCTCCATTAAAACAGCGTCACGCGCCACAAAATTCATCACCGTCCGTCCCACACACACTAGGTTACTCTTAACGCAAGCATATACTTCAACTGGAAACAAAAAAGCGCTACTGCTGATTGACCGCGCGCCACAAAACTCTACACTTCGACAAGTTACCTAAAGCTCATGATGCCGTCAACCACCCCTCCCACTGACCTACCATCACTTTGCCTCTTCTTTCGGGTCATCCTCCTTCTCTGGCGCCGACCTGGAATGCATCACATGATGAAAGACTATATGGGAGTATCTTACTGAGCGGCTGCCTTGGCTGCAGCGATCGCTTCGGGGTAGATATCGCCAGAAGGCTTCATCAAGGAGAAGTAGACGGGATCGAAATTAGCGATGTCGCTGTCGAAAACCTGCCAAGGAGAATATAGTAAATTCTATGGTCATACGACTAGTCGGAGAGTCGCCCCACCGCATGCATAGCGTCATTGAGCAAATTCGAAGTAGTGAGAGAGTCAAGTTCGTAGACAAGACGGTGTAGGAGAAACCGATTAAAAGGGGCAACAAGAATGTTATGACAAGCGGCATGGGAAAAGTAGGCTCACCTCGGGATTTCGCTTCATGAGGGGAACGAAGGCCTCACGTGTGAGGAGTTGCGTTTGGCAATCGAATTTCCCCCAAGCATGTTGCAGACTGAAGTTGGTGTATCGAGTTGCATGGCTAAGCTCTCGACCTAGACCTGAGAGATGACAGGCAAGGCGTGACCATGGTGCAGCATGCAACAGTGATATACAACATGACGATGTTGATAGTAAATGCAGAACTTAAAAGGCGGTCATTTATCGCTTACAACTCAATGAGGTTTCTAAGTTATCACAGTAGAGCTCTCAAGCCATACTAGAATGACTACAGTAGAAGTGTTACGAACAATTACGTATAGGTGATGAATAATCGTAGGAATGGTATGAAGACATATAAGCACCTTTTCCGAGCTGTTCACCACAACATCTTACCTCTGTGTTTGCTCAGAGCCCTATACCAGCGAAATGCATTGGCAACTTCCTTGCTGCTCATCCTGGACGACAACGGAAGTACTGCGAAGCTTGCTCAGGTGGACCACCGAAAACTAATTTTTGAGTTAGCGCTCGCCCAACTGATCGATTTGCTGCGCAGTGATTTCGAGAGTCACTCGAGATTGTGCACGTCACACACCCGCTTTCAACGCATGAATCACGGTATGTGCTTCGAAGCCGTCAAGCGCTATAATTGACATCAGTATCAGCATTATTTATTTTCACGCCATATCACTGAGGAGAATTAAAAATTTTCCTCTACGGTTCAATCTCAATCGCAGCACTCGCTCCTGGTGAGAACATCCTAGCACTTAGGTGAGTACTCCAACCTGTTTTGTATATTGTGTTTTGGAGCTCCGCCTCCATATCCTGACACGATGAAATGCTACAGAGCTCATCACCTTCCTTACTTCAGCTGATTGTTTTCTTTCCCTAATGAAGTACGTAGTTGTACTTTCTCTCTATACAATACTCTCTGCTTGCCTTGCACGTGCCGGCGAGTCTCCAGTCTATGGGAGGCGCCGAATGCGGCAATTCGGTGAGCAATTTCGGGAGTTCGATCTCGATAGGAACGGTAGGCGCTTGGTCGGGGGAAGACTTGTATCGTTCTGATGTTCTATTTGTTAGGTGTGGTAGATGCTCAGGAGATCCGAAGCGCTCTCGGCATTATGCCTACCAGATTTGTTGATATGTTTTTAAAAAGAGTTGATGTTGATCAAGATGGCACAAGTACGTTGGGATGGATCTCATTCTGTGTCAAATTTGTTAAAGCACTCGATGAAAGTGTCCAATATTACTATCTTGATATTCAATTATTGATCACATGCTTGTCCGATTCCTCAGTCTATAGTTAGTGGACACATTCAATTTTATATGCAACATGGTTTAGTACTTATCAGGTCAGTACTTGTAGTTCTTTCCGTGTTGCACTCTTTCGATTTGAGGAATGAGTTACCGTGAAGGAGTGCTCACCTAGTTCATTGCAATATACAGTATGTTCTAGAATAATAAGTATGAGACCATAGAGTGTATCGGCTGTGAAAACTTGTTAGTCGTAGTATTCGCGTGTTAAGCTGTTTTTGCTGTTCAGTTTCCCGGGATGAGTATCTCGACTATGCCCTATCAGACTAAGTGATGATCATCATGATGATGGACTACTACCGTGGTCACTGTATGCGGAGGTCCTCATCTTACACTATTATCCACACCATTATCATCCTTGTGTTGCTTTTATATTTTCGCTGGGTTTCTGAGACTCAATGTCTTACTTCAGTAGAGAAACTAGCTAAGAGCGAGGGGACGGGAGACGTCATGAGCGCGTCGCGAATTAATCAGCCGTCTCCGGTTAGATGTTCTTATGCATTCTATGATCCGTAGCGGGATAGTGCCAGCAATACCTGAGTTGTGGCTCTCTGACGACTCACGTTTCTCGTGACAATTGACTGGTGCCTAGGGAAGGTCAATGTGTCTCATCGATCTGAAAGGAGGCGGTAAATGAACCTTCCTTTGGTCTTACATCGTGTAGTACCTACGCAATAGGAGATGCCTACTACTAGTCATACTACTATAAGGATACCTATACTATTCGGTCGACCTCATCGACTATCAGGTAGCGGTTCACAGGGTAGTAGTAGGGAGGAGGGGGAGGAGGAGGAGTGGTAGTAAATATCAAGGTGATGGTGGGGACTGTACCATTGGGGATGTATGTGACGAATGGGGCAGCTATGCCAGAGGACTGGGTGATTGAGGAAGATATTTGGCAAATGGGGCCGCTATGCCAGGGGTCTGTGGGATTGGGAAATCTATTTCGCGAATGGGGTCGTTATGCCTTAAGACTAAACCATTGGGGAATCCTTTTAGCAAATGGGGCCGCTATGCCTGAGGTTTGTGCGTGATGGGAGTGTTAGTGATGAAATTGGATACCAACAGGACAGGTTCAGGACGGCTCCGACCGTGAGTGAGGTAGACTAGCTGATGGTTGAACGCTCAAGCTGATGGTTGAACGCTCAGTGATTCCCAATGAGCAATAGTTCCATACTTGTACTTGTTCCGCCCACTCGGCTTGAGTCAGGAGCTCAACCTTTGTATTGTCGTCAGGAGGGTTGCGCTTCCAGTGTAGCTTGCTTTCCGTTCCTTCGAAATCTGAAGGCAGTGAAAATAACGCATCTTCGCGAGGAAGTTTTCAGCAATCTTGGGATCGACCTCTACTTTGAGAAGAGATCCAATTTTCTGCTTTCTTCAGAATCGAGCCTCTACTTCACGTCTTGATGTGTACCTATGAGCACTGTGGGTTCGTCCTCAGTTTTCCTTACCGACATGACAGGTGTCACATCGCTTGCTGTTATGCTCTCACTGTGGTACTGCAGCATCATGCTTCTTGCACGAGCTCAACCCGATGAAGATCTTTATATGAAACACTTCGACTCACTCGACACCAATAACGATGGTATTCCTTATTCACAGTATTAGTCTCATTTCCCATTCCCTGTATCAGGTTACGTTGATGTACAGGAGATCAGATCATCTCAGCTTGATATCTCCATAGAATATTTGCCAATCGTCGAGCGCTTTGTTATCACCAGGCTGGCTGAAATGGATACCAATCAGGATGGAATGAGTAATAATGATAGTAGCGATAACATTAGTTGTAAAGTTCTACGTTGCAGTTTCAATGGAGGAGTTCATTGACGGTTCTCTCAGGAAGAGTATAGACGATTAACGTCTTTTGCATATCATTATTTTAAAGGGTTTTAGCCCCCACAGCCTTCCATGGCTCAGTTTCATACGATGGTACCAAGACTTGTTGAATTCGGGGAGATCGTTCTCACAGGGCGGCACTCTGTCACTGCTGGATCATATATGTCCGTAACCATATCGTCCGATTATTTCTCTTCAAGAAAATTATATCGAGAGTCTCAGAAAAGCAAGGCCTTCACTTGAGGAATTTCATCACCTGATCAAGTGCTTCACCGTTATATAACTTCTATTGGATTTTTGTCTATGTCTGTTGTACACTAGTTGAAGACTTGCTAATTTTTGCCCATAATTCTATGCTCGCGTCACTACGTGCAATCGGCTTCTTATCGTGGTTCCTATTCACGGTCGAAAGCCGAGATAAGCTCAATCTGAAGGAGATTTACGACAAGCAGTTCAATCAGTTCGATCTCAACCAAGACGGTACTTGAGCGGTGGACACTGGGATGAAGTTACTTGTTTCAGGCCTGATAGATGCACAGGAAATCAGAGGGAGCATTGGGGATACAGGAGAGAGGTATCTGGATGAGTACTTGAGGAAGACCGACACCAATCAGGATGGTGCGAGTACGTATGCTGGGGAGCACTTATTCTATAGGTGGTAGATTGTGAAACTTGGTATTATACTACTATTATACGACTTGCCGTATTCGTATAGGGAAATGCTTGGGTCTTCACGTTGGAGGTATTCGATACATATCCGAATATAATGTGCGAATCTGTGTGGTTTTTATTTCGTAGTGAAGAACTCTGATTCGTTCACTCCGATGATAAATAAGCTCGTTGTTCGATCAAGGGATGGTGGGATCAGTGCTTCTGTCAGTATCATGGGAGGAGTTCATCGGGGATGCCTTGGCAAAGGACGGCTTTGAGGAGTAAAGTATACTATTTAACTTTTAGGTCTTTAGACCCCTTTATCACTCGTATCCCCTTTGTTGTTGTGTTATTCCCTCGATAGGCTTTGCCAGTCACTCAGAGTTCTTCACCATGCACTCACCACTCTATCTCTCGTCAATCCTGTTATCGATCGTGACCGCTGTACATGCCACCGTGAGGGACGTTGACGCCCAAACTATGGGCCGATTTGACGACCAAATGCATGAGATGGACCTCGATGGGAATGGTAGTGATTACCTTTCCCACTTGCTGCGTCCTCCCTTACAACACTTTAGAGGAGAGTCGACTTTGTTCAGGGCGAGTTGACGCACAGGAGATCCGCAGTATCTTTTTGGACATGTCGGATTCATTTGTGGATAGGTTTATGAGGAATATCGATCAGAATCAGGACGGCAGTTGTAGTGTGTGGCGAGTGAGCTTAAGAGTTTTTACGGTTTTTCTATCAGTTTCGCGCGACGAATACTTCGACTACGCCTTCTCTGAAGACTAGGTCATCATCGGAGGGTTCGCATTCGTCACCGTTTTCGTAGTTTCTAAAGCTCATGTGTTGACTTTTGGTTTTGTCAAGATTTCACTTTCACGCGCGTTTACAGAATTTTTGTCCCAATAACAGTGTGTGTTTCACCCGACTGAGTGTGCATGGTGACTCCCACTGGACGTGTGTTGGTTCATCCCGAAGACCCCAACTTGGTGCTGGAGCTCACGAGCAGAGGAACAGTTAGGATATTTGACTTATTGGCGAGCGACAAGGCTGATGTTGCCGCGGGGGTCATAGAAGACGACTTTGTGAAGGACGTTTGTTGGCTCCCCACTGGCAGTGGAGAAGGGGTCTTCATTACTGTCACCGACAAGGCCTCGGTTAAGGCTTATTCAGCTCTACTGTGCATGCTAGCTCCACCGTATCGGTCACGACCAGAGCCCTTGGAGATCCGTACTGTCCCGGAGAAGACGTTGATGGGGTCAGTTGCAGGGTTGTGTGCTACGCCCACTTGTGATGTGATCGGTATTGTTACGCTTGATGGGAGAGTAGATATAGCAAGATCTCGGGTGAGGGATACGAGTGGACATGATCATACACTATTCCTGGACATCCTCAGCACCGTAGACACCCGTCCTGGCAGTCCGGTGGCGATATGCAGCCCTACTGCCTATGCCTACTGTCATGTTGAGCAGGAGTCGGTGGTGTTGGAGGGGTTTGGTGCTGCTGTGCCACGAAGGGCTCAAAAACGATGTGAGATTGACTATCCTGAGGGAGCTGTAGCGGTGATCAGTGTGGCTGCTACAACTGATGTGGTTGCCTTGATCTTTGACCTAGGAATGGGCAAGTGTCAACTGTGTGCTTATTCGACCTATGAGATGCCACCTAGTGTTGTGCATTCCGATGTGTTCGATGTCACTGAGGTCAGAGGCTCATTGCATATCAACTGCATCAGAGACACTAACGCAGTGGTCATCGTCGTGAGCTCTTCAAGGGTAGTGGCCCGATCGAGAAGCTATGCAGAGGGCGAACGGTGGATGACCCTTGGGATCTGCAACCCTCCTCCTAGCTGCTGTGCCCTGATACCTCAGCGGGACGGTATGGGCTGGGACCGTTGCCTCATCGCTGGGAGGACCATCCAAGACCTTCCGGACCAAACCAAGAGGGCGCTGTCCACCTCCAGTTTGCCACTGGAGGACTCAAACCAAGTTGTTGCATTGCACAGGGCTCTCGAGATGGCGTTCGCGCAGGGAGAGACTTTACCGTCTTGGTGTCATGAGTTTGCTGCTGAGGACGAAATTGAACGGTTGGTCACCGATGGTCCATCAAGGCGGTTCTTCATTAAGCTCGCATTTGTCCTTTCCCCCGAGCACAGGCAGGAGTGCATAGACCTGGGTATAGCGGTGAACACTGAGGACTGCTTCCTAGCGTCAATTGGCCGCTCCCATGACTTCCTGCTACAGCTGGTCACTCGAGTCGCACCTATCACTGACGACATCGGCGCTGAGCTCTGGAGTACATTCTTTCGCCGAATGGGCGTGGGCTTCTGGGCTCAGTCTCTCACCCTGCTACGGTCTACTGTACTCAACTTGCTATTGAAGAACTCCCTTGCTAAGTACCGGAAGACCAAGGAGCTGTCGGTCATTGAGGACGAGAGTGCACTGTGGTTGGCCTTACTGGGCCGGCAAAACGTCCTGGCGTCCCTGTACAAGCAACATGGGCAGCTCACTAGCAACCCTAGGACCCTAAATATTGCCAAGTTCCTGGCCATGGACTTCACTGTACCCGAAAATAAGCGTATCGGGTCTAAGAACGCCTTCGAGTTGATCCGGCAAAAACGGCATTCAATGGCAGCAGCCATTTTCCTGCTTATTGGTGATGTCCGGTCGGCTGCCAATGTGGCCATACGGTACCTTGAGGATGTCCAGTTGGCCATTCTGTTCTGTAGAAGCAGCGCCAACGATGACGGTGTGATGGTCGAGGACAACTTGAATGGGGTATTCGCTGGGAAGCACTTCGATGATTGGGTGGAGCTCTGGAGGCTCTGGTCTTTGCATGACTATAGTGAGCTCGCTAGAAGCTTGGCATCTGTGGCGTCTAAAGACCTTTCGGTCACTGCTTCCGGTATGGTAGAACGTGAATCGGAGTTGGGCGTCCTGCCCACACCGGCCTACCTCAGTACGTGTTCTACGAAGGATATCTTTGAATATCTTCGTAGTGCGGTACCTGCCTTTGGAGCTGTGGCTGCAGAGTTTGTTGTGGAAGATACTCCAACGACTGTTATAGCCACTCGCCTGCTAGGCCGAGGCTTGGTCGCGCTGTTGCCACCTGTGGTCGAGGAATCTCCTCTTACTAGCGCCATTCACTGGGCCCGTAGAGCTTCTATTATGTTTGATGACAACCTCACCCCTCGGAGGGTCTCGGAGATGCCGTCCTGCATACCGGGTAAGGCCTTGCCCCCGCCTTTGGGGAGCGATCTCCAGAGCTACTGGATACGCCGTGTCCGAGGTGCCCTGCTGGACCCAAGACTCAACCCCATGCCTCCAGCACCAGAACTGTGGTCGATACTATCGAGACTGATCCAGACCTCGCGAGAAGGCACGCTCTTGCCCAGCTGGGCAGCAGAGCTCACGTCGATGGTCTTGGCTGGCATTGGGGACTGGTCTACCAGCATACCTGAGATCCAGGAAGCTGCCGCGGCGGTGGTCTTGAGTGAATTCGAAAGGCTCCTGCTGGAGCACGAGGCAGCTGCTGCTGACGGTGTTGATGGGAAAAAGGAGGCCGATAACGCTCGCCTGAGCCTTGCTGAGCATTACACTGGCGTCTTGTTTGAGCTACTGCAGCCGGGGTGTTCACCACAGGTGGCCGTGGAGGCTGAGGCGCCGCCCCTTACTTGCCTCGCCGAATCAACAACTCCTCGCGCTATGCGGCTGCGGTGCCTTGTGGTTTGCTCACTCGTTTTGGAACGAGTTCTGAACCCACCGAAGAGCTTTAATAAGTTGACCGTCTACGAACGGCAGTATCAACTGTTGGTCAGATGGCACTTGAAATCGCATATCTACGGCGCTATGATGGAGCCAGATGCTGTGCAGGCCGGCCAGGCCGATGCGCCCAACAGCGAGCATCCCTTAGAGACCATCTTGGGAGCACCGAGGCGTCTCAGGCTGCTACAGAGTACCAATCCAGTGTATCGCAGAGCTCCCGAGCAAGAGAGCGAGCACTTGCCGAAGTCACTAGCTTTGACGGGCATCGCGAGTCAGGTCGGATGGCATTCGGTCACAGGGCTGTGCTTGGACCGATCTCCTGGGGCCTCACTGCGACTAGCAGTGTCGGCTGGTCACGAGGTCGGCTTTGTGAAGGTTATCGATCTACCCCAACTTATACGGTCCTCTGTTGGTTGTTGTGATGGTATGTCCCCTGAGGAATACTTCCGGGCCGACTTGCACTGGCGCATGGACCTCGAACGATCAGTGCTGAACTCCAACACCAATCTGCCAGCTGGTACCAAGATAGTCCCAAGTGAAAGAACTCCCCTGAGCACAGGGGCTGCCGAGTCCTCACCGACTAAGTCTCTGGGCTGTGGTTTATCCCTCCAGCCCGACTGCCGACTTTATGCTAGCGACGTTATGTTACTCTCGTTGGGTATCAGTTGGGCGAACGGCGACCACGGCACGCGTGTGTTCGAGCGCTATAATAACGCGCCTGCCTCTGGTCGAGCGTCGGTAAGCAGCTCCCTCACAGCGCACCCTACAGCTGGTGTTTTCGCGTCCGCAGCTAGTAACAACGTTAGGGTGTACTCCTTCGGGTGCCCGGCCTTGGACGAGCCTGCTCAGGAGCTATGCATCTACGAGATGCCACAGCGTCTTGCCTTGCGCGATTCTCTTCGGCTCGCATCCTGGTCGGAAAACGGCGAAGTGCTTGCAGCTATCAGCAAGATGGGGTGCATGGCGATATGGTCCACCCGACGGCCTGGCAAGCCGATCCTATCCTTCAACACGCCTTACATTCGAGGGAACGATGTGAAGGCGTTGACGCCCTCTGGCTCTATTATGCTCATATGTGGGCGAGAGACTGCGGACGGTTCTGGTGGTGCTGCCATGATCGATTGTCGAAGTCCAGAGTTGGTGGTCCAGAAGTGGGATGCCGGGCCTGGCCGGGAGTATACCTCCATCTCTGGGTTGTCCACTACTCACGAGCTGCAGCTTGGTACTTGTGATGGACGAGTTGTGAATGTTGATACTCGAGCTGGTGGTAAGAATAAGACGGTTATGCTCTACACTGGCGGTAATGAGCGAAGCCCTGCTATCTACAGTCTACTCCAGTACGGTCCCAATCAAGATGGAATTGTGGCGGTCACACACGGCAGTGCCGTTGGAGTCCTCCCACCAGGGAAGGACGGAGGCTCGTTCGACGCCGGATACGTCATGCATAAGGGTGGTATGAAGTCGTCCGTCCAAGCTGCCTTCAGCAAGATCGGCCCTAAGCTGGTTGCTGCCGCTGATGCCCATGGAACTGTGGCTATCACTGCTGGGGCCTCTGATGAACAAATATTATTACACAGACTGCCTTGATTCTGCTCTTCTCACTATAGCATTGTAATTTGAAAAGTGTTTCTTACATCTGTTCAGTCGAGTTGGAGTGGAATGTGAACTCAGTCATTGCAGAGTTCGGTCCTTTGCATGGAGGGTAACGCCTTCGTGGAGGCCGACACTGCTACAATGGCGGTATGCTTCCCGCAGACGGCAACACCGAATCGACCGTTTATTCCCTGCGATCGGCGAGGAAGACTGCGGGCGTTCCTACGTCCAAACAGAGTGAAGACTGCCAAGTACTCGGTTTTGACTTTTCTACCACTGAATTTGTGGCATCAATTTCATGTCTTCGCCAACTTGTACTTCCTCTGCATGGCAGGGCTTCAGATGCTGCCGTGGATATCGGACTCGGATGGTCGTCCGTATATCCTCCTACCCCTGGGCTTTGTTCTCGCTGTTACTGCTATCAAGGACGGCTTAGAAGACTACAACCGTCATAAGGCCGACTCTGAGGAGAACAAGAGGGACGTGGCGTTAGTGGTCCCCGATGGGGATGTCTGCACTGTGGTCCAGTGGGAAGCTCTGAGGGTCGGCGATGTCATTCGACTTGAACGAGGAGATCGCGTCCCTGCTGATGTGGTGATACTAGCGAGCGCTGATGACAATGAAGAAGGACAAGTGTTTGTTGGCACGGAGCATCTCGATGGTGAAACCTCTTTGAAACCGAAGTCGGCATTGGCTCAGACTAACAGGCTCATTGCTTCTGATGGAGACGCGGGGAATCTCAACTCGCAGTTCGGCATTTGTCGAACGAGACTGAGAGTCCGATATGAAACCTCATGTGAGAGTCTTCACTCTTTCCATGGTGTGATCGAGATAGAGGGGTGTTCGGATGGTCTTCTACCTCTATCGGTCGATCAAGTCATTTTCCGAGGCAGCACTGTTGAGACGACATCGCGCCTTTGGGCTGTTGTAGTTTATACCGGTCATGAAACGCGGATTCTTAAGAATGCTATGAAGCTGAAGCCGCGGTATAAACTGTCCAAGCTCATGCTGTGTTACAACAAACACATTATTTGTCTTTTTGCCATACAGTTCGCTCTGTGCTCGCTCACTGCTGTTCTGCATCTATCGCTTTCCCTCGCCTTCATGGACCGCCATTTTTACTTGTCCAAGGCGGATGTGTTTGACGTTCTTAAGGTTTTCGGTGCGCAGTTACTACAGCTTACCCAATTCGTTCCCATAAGCATTCTTGCTACGCTCGAGGTCGTGAAGGTGGTTCAGTCCTTGTTGGTCGTGGACCGCGATCCTGAAATGCCCGGCTGTAAGACTAACACCTGTACAATCATGGAAGAGCTCGGCTCCGTCCGTCACGTTTTCACCGACAAGACCGGTACTTTGACTGAGAATGTCATGTTGCTCAAGTCTCTATGTATCGTCCGACCAGGGTTACCACTGAGTCCCTCTACTCGCGTACTAGATAACGCCTCGGCCGAGCCCCCCGACAGTCCACGACGAGGTCGTCCTACTGGTTTCTCTGACTTCTGGTCCCACAGTATGCACGAGTCAGTGCCGAGGTGTTTACAAAACCATGTTGCGACTGATTTCCCTGTTGAGGAACTGCGAGCGGAATGGGGCTTCGATACGACAGAAGCTCGACTGCTCCTCCTGGCGATGGCGGTTTGTCATTCGGTCATTGCTCGAGCTCAGGAGTACTGCGCCGACCTCATCCTCGACGCGAGCTCCCCTGACGAGCTCGCTTTAGTGGCCGGTGCTGCCATTCTTGGCCTTGTATTCTACGGTAGGCGCGGCTCGAATGAGGTTCGCCTCAAAGTTGACCATCCGTGGGCCGCTCGTATGCTTGGCTCTGTGGTTGGCGAGGTGAGCGTGAACGTCTTGTTGACGTTGCCGTTCGACAGCGACAGGAAGCGGATGAGCGTCGTTGTTGAGTTCCAAGGGGAAACTATGTTGCTATGCAAAGGCGCTGACTCTGCTATGATAGCCGCTGCGAGTGATGGTGTGAACCCTGAGCTGATGCAGGCTGTTGACAAGTACTCTGAAGTCGGTCTTCGCACTCTTGTCTTTGGCTGGAAAAAATTCGACCCTATAGAACTGCGAGAACTCCTCACAGAGGTGTACGAGGCCAACTTGAATGGTTCACCCGAGCGCTTGAGAGATGCCATGGAAGCATTGGAATCCGGTCTGGACCTGGTCGGCTGTTCTGGCGTTGAAGACATGCTCCAGCCCAGGGTTCCCGAGACCTTGGAAGCCCTGCGAGAGCACGGCATGAAGGTGTGGATGCTCACTGGTGACAAAGTCGAGACTGCTGTTAATATTGGCCATAGTGCCGGGTTGTTCCCACCCGATGGACAAAGCTATCTCCTTGATACGACAGATGCCGTCGAGCTCAGTGAGATGTTGCAGTTCACTCGCCCTATGGTCACGACTCAGTCACAGAGTAGCGTCATTTTAACTGGGGATTCCTTGTCTGTTATACTCCGGAGTCGGCAACTTCGGGCGTTGCTATTCGAGGCGCCGATAGCCTTCGTGATGGCATGCCGAGTGACCCCAGCTCAGAAGACTGAGCTTGTGACCACTGCTCGGGCCTATTGCTCTGGTCTGGCCTCGCGTGGAGAGGAGACGGTCCGTAGCAGCTCGCAAGGTGGGGCGGTCCTTGCTATTGGTGATGGTGCTAACGACGTTGGTATGATCCAAGCCGCGGAGGTTGGCGTTGCGGTGGCTGGTTATGAAGGAGCTCAAGCTGTTCGCGCCAGTGACTTCGTTATCACACGATTCCATCATCTACAGCATTTACTCCTTTTTCATGGTCCTGAGCTCTTGAGGAAGAACGCGTTTGTTGTATATTATTCGATATTCAAAAACGCTGGTTTTTCACTGTTACCATTTGTGTACGGTATTGCTTGTGCGTTCTCTGCGACCAGCGTCTACCAGGTGGTCTTGAAACAATTTTATAACACCTTTTTCACGGTCTTGCCAGTGATAGCTTATGCAGTGTTCGACCACCAGGGGTTCATTCGAGCCGTGGGGCCCTGGGAGGCCCGCTTCGGCCCTTGGCATCTCATCGTGTGGACGCTAAGAGGACTATGGTGTGCATTCAGCTTCTTCCTGGGCTCGTTGATACCATTTGCTACTTTCGCCAATTCTTTGGTCGGTATATACTCTGTCAAGGGATACGCTGAAATCTCCACAGAGAGCCTCGGTCTGCTAGCCACTGCGACTTCCGTTATTTTCTTCAACTCGGCAATTTACATCTGGTCAACCTCCCCGGCTAGTCATGGCCTCTATGCTTTTGGTACCGGACTCTTTCTACTTGTGTGGCTTGCTCTGGACCAATCGGTTTTCGCCTCTGCCGGTAGACTGTATCTGTGGTCACCGATGGGAATCGCAGCGTTGCTTTTATCACTTTCTCTCGCTGGGTTGTCTCTTATTTTCGCTGTCGATTCACGCTTGGGGCGCTTTGTGGCTATCAAAAATGATTTGGAACTGCAAGAACAGGCCGATCAAGGAAAGTCGACGGCGGCCTCGAATTCGAGCACGGATCCATTGGAATAACGTATCGCTGCTATCCAGTTCATCTCATCTTCGTCACATTTGATTCATCATCACTATTTTTGTCATTCTCAGTAGTTTCGCGTTAACTTGTTAATAACTGTCCGGTCCAGTCGTGGTTTTTGTCTTTCTACCACTACTGTTCCATGCTCAGCAGGAGTCCTTTACCTCCGGCTGTGTGCAATCAGCTTGGCGGTCATGGCATCCTTTCACCGAAGGGCGTAAGGTGTAAGCCCCCTATCAACGTGGTAAGCGGAGGAATACACTGTGAACGAGTTTACTATTGATGAGTAACGGCTTTGAAGTTGACGAGTTGCTTCAGTGACGGTATTGTAAGTCACTTCCACCAGAAGATCCACCATGTGATGCGTGTATCGACTAACAACAACTGTGTATTGCGGAACTCCTATCGACCTTCCTAGCAGTATGGGGATATATACATGATTTATTACATGTGTTGATTACACTGCAAGATTTTCAGCGGGTTTATCTTTGCCACCAACTACCCCGAGTCGCATGTAAGGAAACTCAACTGACTCCAGCTGGAGGGCATCAGCCAGATAGGCTAACACTAAATCGTAATTGGTGAGTGGGCACTGGACTCTGTGGCGCGATCCTGTCCGATTAGTCGGGTTGAAAAATCCAGTCAGATGGGAAGGCCATCCGTCGTCGATGAGGTTCAGCATGCATAGCATTCCATTCAACACGGCATCGAGTAATCTTCTGGCGGTTTCTCATCATCAATGGCGCTCTTCCCGGCTCGTGTTCGAGGCGAGAATCATCAGATTCTCGTGTTGCCTCATGCTTCGCATCAGTCCGATGGATGGACTAATATGCGGTCCTTAGTCCGGTCCCATCCCATCCCGATCCGAGGAATCAGAAATCACACGTATCGTCGTCGTTAGCCATAGACGATAGTAAACCTCAGGCCGGTATGTACGGTGTTGGAGGCCGAAGCACTAGCGATATCGACGGCTTTGTGTCGAGAGGCTGTGTCTCTCTGGAGACATAGTAGAATGACGAGGAGAGAGTCGATAGCAGACATCCCTGGAGGAAGAGACTCAGAAGGATTTAGTGCTGATTATGAGCGGCAGCTGACTAGTTTGGGATAGCATTTTGGGATGGGGCGTAACACGATGTCCGGTCGTAACACTATTATTAGAACGCACAGTGCAGTTCCTACGACTCTGGAGAAACCTCGTAAGTAACGAGAGCCGGTAGAGTGCCTCTCGGGGACATTTGTCGTGAGTGACGAGAGGAAGCCAAGGCGGCACGATAGCTCCCATTGGGGTGGGAGCAGGGTCGAGCTGCTCTGGCAATAGTTGATCCAGGAGAGCGGGAAATTTGCCCGTATAAACCTCTGTTTGATGTCTCCTTCATTTCAATTGAAACAGTCCTTAATAACTAGCAATTCCTCTCATTTCAATGCATGTGTTTTTGATATCCGATCTCCCCTATTGAGTTTTCTAGTGGTCGGGTCGGGTCTGAGCTGTCCTAAAGTATATCTCATCGCCATATATGGTTGGCCGCAGGGCCACATCGACGCCCATGAGAGGAGCTCTGAAGAGGCCTCGTGTGTCAGTAGGTAGAAGTGGCTCGAGTGTGTCCAAGACTCCCCGCTACGCCAAGCTCGTGCGCCAGAGTCCAGGCCCTAGTTCAGCGGCTAGCCAGGAATCGGTGGTCGACATCTGCAGTAGCAGCGAGGATGAGGACAGCGCTGCTCGGAGGGTCAACAAACAGCGCCCATCTGGGCCGTTCTGGTCGGAACAATTTTTTCGGGATCTACCCGGTGGTCCTAAAGAATCCACTACAGCGAAATCGAGAGCTCCTCGAGAGCCTCCTAGGTGAGGCTTCCAAAAATTCTCGGAAATTCCTTCACTTCATTTCGCATTTCAGAGTCGCCAAAGTACGGACAAGAGCCCCTCGAACGGCGGTCGTTGTTGTAACAGAGCCGACCCCAGTCCTCGTTGTGGCGAAGGAAAGGAAAAACGAATTAACCGCTGCCTTGCAAAACGGTGGCAGGATGGTCGTTGTCCTATCCGGCCCACCAGGGTGCGGGAAGAGCTTCCTATTGCATACAGTGTGCGACGAGCTCGGCCTGTCTGTGACCGAGTACCGCAGTAAAGCATGGGTGAGGGGTAGGATGGGAGATATTTCAGAACGTTCTGGAATCACCCCAACACCTTCAGGTTATGAGGAACGCCACGCTTTGGTGCGGTTCTTGCGGACTCCCCTCCCCCTCTCAGTGAAGCTCATTCGGGAGTCTGTCCTCGATCTCATGTCCACTCGGCAATCCTCTTATTCTGGTCAGCCTCGGTCGATTTTGGTTTCCGAAGGACTGCATCATCGCTCAGGAAGTGCATCTGAGAGAGAAGTCCTCGAGAGTTTGGTCTCAGCCAAAGGGCGTGTTGCCATCAGCACTACCAACTATCGTTTACTAGACAAGCTGAGTAAGTGCAATCTGCCCACCACCGGTCATGCACTTCTATGCAGGGCAAACGGTGCCGCCAGAACGCTTAAGAGTGCTCACTTTCCGGCCCATATCTGTTACGGGTATTCGAAAGATACTCCGGGCAAAGATATCGGCCATGAGTTCGGCCAAGACACCTCCGGGTGAGGGATGATCTTGACAGTTTCCGAATGGGACTCTATAGTGTAGGTTTGATCGATACATTAGCGACGGAATCGCGAGGCGACGCGAGATTTGCGCTAAACCAGCTCGAGGCCGCCCTGGCTGGCGGCTCAGTGACTGCATCAAGTGGAGGTGGTGGTGGAACGAAAGATAACACGTTTGATTACTTCCATGCTCTGGGCAAAGTAACGGCCTTGCTGATGGGCGTAGGGGACGTAGATGGACAACGTAGCGCTTTTACGTTTCTGGGAAAACGTGAATTTCGATGCTACTCTGCGGGTGTGGTTTACGATCTCTCCTCGAGAGCTACGAGACAGTCCGTGAGCGATCAGGTCCTCTATTGCAAGCGGATAGATCCCGATGCACCAGATAGGCCACCAGCACAGTTGCCGTCCGAGAAGCTCGTCCCAAAACTCGATCGGTTACCACCTTACTTTGACGTAGAAGATCTATGCTGTATGCCCGACTGGGAGAACAGCGATACGGTATGAACACCGGCGTTCGCTTTACGTTATCTTCAAATTCAGGTCGTGAATCTCCTTCATGAAAATTACATCGATTTCTACGGTGACATTGGTGATGCCGCGGAGTGCATGTCGCGGCTTGCATCAGTTGATGCTTATCGCAACAGCGCATACAGGCCCTGGTGAGGCCACCGTTCTCGGGCCTGTCCTTCTCAGTGGCTCTGTTAGATCATGGGCGCAGTTATTGCATCATCGTATGTCTCAGGCGATCAGCCCACAGTGTAGACAGCAGCGTTGGAATGTATTTTCTATCGTCTTGGGCATGCCGAGCCGTTATGGATAGTAACTGCCATCCAGTAGCTCCATCGAAAGGTCGATTACACCAATTCCGAGCGGAGCGAAAAACAGAAGATCGGGAACAGAAATCAGTGGGAAATATCGTGATCGAGAGTACCTCTTGAAACGGCGTTGTATCGTATCAGTTCCTCGTGCATCTCAACTACCTCTTGAGTGGTACTTGTCGATCGCCGGCTCTGGCGGCCACTATGATGGTGCCTTTCACTGACTTATGCTTGCGATCGACACGTGGTGAATGGCCGCGGCTATCTGGCAAGGCCCTGGACATGGTGAGGCAACATGCTGTATACTTCAATCTTATTATTTTCCTGGCGCGTAAATCGAGAGTCGCACAGATCATACCTCATGGCCTTATTATCCCAACCGTCCACATCTTAACAATCACTAGCGATACATCCTATTGTAGCTCTCCAATCAGCACGCTCGGTATGAGCTCATGAGCAATGAATGACCCATGCTTAGGTACACAGTTTAGCTGCGGACGGGTCAAGCACTCCTACATGGCGAGCCTACAAAGATGATCCGATCGAAAGCCCTTCGGCGGTCGACGACTTCAATCTGGATCCAATCTCTGAGGTGCGTACAGCATCCTTAGGCTCACTGGTGATTGGAATGTCTTCAGAACTTCGATGAAGCACCGCCTGCGCAATCCCAGATGAATATTATGGAGGACAACGAATGGGATGACCTTACCGAGGAGGATCTCCGGTTACTCGACGCGGCGGTCGATTTACCCAGCGGATGAACTGAACAATTCTCTTGCATTCACTCGTGCTATTGTGTTAGTTAGTAACAACACATAGCTCAATAGGGACCCGGAAATAAGACCTCCCTGTACTCCCACGCCCGAATGGTGCTCCAGCAAAATCCCAAGTTCAAACACTTGTACGTTTCGTACGAAATGCCTGTGATTCACAGGGAATATAAGGTTAGGCAATACTATCAAGTCAACAAGCAGATGGTCAATACGATTCGTATAGGGGAATTCATGGCCTTTAGGTACGCAGAACATATGCAAAGCCAAGTGATCCATCATATACTACATATCTAATACGATACATCCGCATTTACCAATAACCTCAAATTTACTGGGAAGTCCGTGTCAAACCTCACACGCCATGCAGGCAATAGTAGTGAACTGCTATTCAAGTCCTCATGAGTCGAGAATGTGCCCTTGTAATCTAATGCTTATTTGATCATATCCTATAGGTTTGAACTTCCGCTTTGCTCGTTTTGATCGAAGCTTTACGAGTCTCCAAGAGCTAAGAACGGTGAGTTACTGCCGGTAGTTGTACTCGTCCTACTATCCCACTCGTACGTGAGGTGACATAACTCAAAGCAACAACGATTGAAATAGCGTTTCACTACTATCGACTCGCATGATCCACGAGCATCGACACATAATGAATGTAAAATAAGTCGAATCGTAGATGCCGGTGCAACTACATGAATGGCATGGATAATGCAAGATCATCACGGATATACTAAGGCCCTCCATTCGTTAGACGAGCTTGATGATGAGCCTCTAGGGTGGCGTTTGGGTAGTGGCAACCACTTGAGTTGTCGGAGATACAGTAGTGACCGCTTGAGTAGTCGGCCCCACGGTAGTGACCACTTGTGTAGTCGTAACCATAGTGGTGGCCACCTGCGTCGTAGGGGCAGCAGGAGTGGTGGCCTGGCTAGTCGACATCATAGACGATGTCGCTGCAGTAGTAACAGTTGACGGGGTTGTAGTCTCCCCATAATTGTTGCAGACGCTTGGACCGCAGGGCTGATCACCAACGTAGCAGACAGGTACATAGAGCCACCATTTGCAATAGGACACGCGATCACCGGAAAGCCCGGGGTTGGCGGCGGCGCAGTAAGCATCGCAGTTAGGACTCGGACCAGCATGGGAGTCCGGAGGACCTTCAGTCGGAGCGAGGGTACCGGTAGGGCAATCGGATGGGCCACAAGGTTGATCGCCGCCCTGACATGTGGGTTCGTTCTTCCACCACTTACAGAACGAAGACGGGCCATTGAGGCCAACGCAATAGGTGTTGCAGGAGGCAGACTCGTGGGAGTGGGCACCGGCTGGTAGGGGAGGCGTGGGCGCGGGTGGCCACGTCTGGGAGGTGCACACCGTCTGATCACCACAAGGTTGATCACCGCCGAGGCAAGTTGGACGAGGAAGCCACCATTTGCAGTACGAAGCCTCATCATTAAGACTCTGACACATCGTATCACAAGCGGGCTCGTATGTTCCGTCGCCAGTTGGAACCGCGTCAGTCGGCGCCACTGTCACAGGAGGACCGCAAATAGCGATCGTACCAC